TCCCCCTTCTAGAAGGCCTTCATAGCAGGTGCCAAAGTCCCTCTCTTTAATGTAGGGTAGCAGTCACAGGCTCTCGGGGTTATGATGTGAACAGATTTGCAGGGAGGTAAGGCATGCATTGTTCTTTCTACCAGAGCACAATAGAACCCCAAAATGATGTGCCATTAAGAACAAAACAAAAATTTGGAGAAATTTCCAAGATAAAATAAAGTCAGCCGAGATAATCCCAAGAGGAACCAGATACATTGGAACTAAAATATGAAGTTTTGTGGCAACTATTAAGACTATTTGAATAGGGGCCAGCAGATGGCATAGAAGTTAAGGCACCAGACCCCCACATGGCCAACCGCAGTTCGAGTCCCGGACCTGGCAGCTGGAAACTCATGCTGGGCAAGTGTGTGTGCGTACCCAAAATCCTGAGAGGGGAATGAAGGATGGCATGGCCATCCCCCACCCCCAGGGGTCATTTCTCACTTTCCGTGTCTCTGTCCCTCCAGCGAGCACACATTCTCTACAGCAAAAGTCTCTCTTAAAAAAAGAAAAAAAAAGATTTTAATAAAGTTTAAGTATATGCATTACAGTTCATTTTTTTGAAAAGAATCATTTTTCAGAGTATTAGAAACAATGAAAAAGGACCAAATAGAAACTAAATTTAAAAATTATTATCTGAAATAAATTCACTGGGTCGACTTTTAACAGCCACATGGGGGACGAGCTGGTGGCGTGGTAGTTAAGGTGCTGGACACTCCCACATGGCTGACCACGGTTTGAGTCCTGGACCTGGCAGCTTGCTTTCTCAATCTTTCTCTCTCTCTGTCTCTCTCTGGTCAAAATAAAATAATAAATGAATGAATAAATAAAATAAATAATTATTAAAAAAAAAACCAGCCACATGGAAAGGACTGAGGAATGTGTGAAATTGAAGCTACATTAATGGAAATTATCCAGTGTGAAAAAAGAGAGACAGGAGCAATTTAAGAAAAAACGAACAGAGCCTCAGGAAGGAACTCACTTAAATGTTAAAGTGCCCCATATACATGCCAATGGAATCCTAGAAAGAAAAACAGGAAGGAAGACTATTTGGAGAAATATTGGCCAAGCCATTCCAAACCTGGTGAAAGAACTGTTCTGAGGCAGGATGGCCAAGGAACAGGAAGCAAGACGAACATGGCGAGCCCCAGACCAAGTACAGCATCGTCAATGTTGAAGGCCCAAACGGCACCTTGAATGCCTGCAGAGAGAAAGCACCCGGTGCGTGCAGAGAAGGCTGACCCGTTCAGGACTAACTTCAGAAAGGACGCAGGC